CAAGTTGCTGCATATTGTGTGTTGTCTATTTGGCAACAGCTAAAGCCAAACAGCCCAAACCACATCCAGAACTAGCTATCTGCATTTTCCAGTGTTGAAATTGCAAATTGTCCAGTAGCTGACTTGTGGTTGAGGCAAGAATGGGTGTACCTTTCCATAGACCCACCTTCACATGTGCATTGGTCGTGCCTCCCATCAGAAAGCTGGAAACTAGATATTGAGTATCACATGTGGAACACTCTGCATCCACCTGTTCACCTTCCATGCATCAGCGTAAGTTTCAAAAGTGCTGCTATTCTGAGCACATTTATTTCCCTGACATCAGCTGTGAGTTTGTTGATTTTCACCGGCACTTGCTAGGCAATTCAATGATGGGTGGTGAATATGTTGAGCATGCTGAGTCTGGCAGAGACAGGAATGATGGTGAAGATGGCAAGGCTGATGAATTTGCAGAGACAGTACAAGATGAAAATGAACTCGCTATACAGTCTTTGCTCCTTCCAGGCACCTCAATCTTCCATCTTCATGGTTCCCTTCCTACACCAATCCATCTCACCTCTACACAGGTTTTCGTTTTTCCTTCCCAAAGCTCAAGAAATCCCACATCCTCTTATTGTCTTTTGTACATCTGTAACATCCTGTGATCTCTACTTGCCTCTGGTTCATTCAGCCATACAGCATGACCTGCTGATCAAAGGTGACACGACTGAGCATGTGTACAGAGTGGGACACAGCATGTGCAGGAAAGGGTGGTAAAACTTGGAGTATCATTGCGCTCAGCGAATCCAAATGAGTAAAATGAGTAGAGGGGAAGATGAAGGGCGATGTGATGGGAGACCAGCCTGACAGTCACAAAGTCAACATCACTCTTGAAGAGGCGAGCACCAAGAGCATATTGATGAAGGGCTTTGGTGAAAAAGGCTGAGTATGAGAAATGTGCTATAGAAGAGCAATTGTCTTTGGAATGGCGATGTGGTGCCTATTGGTAGGTTGTGAAATACCATACGTTACAAGGTTTTGGTTACAAGGCAAATCATATTGGCATGCAAAAGAGAGTTCACAATAAGTGTGCAGAGGTTGTTCAGCTGGTATAAAACTAAGACCTAGTAAGTTACTGTGGATTGATACAGAACACAATAAAAAATGAACATGAAGATACATGTCTAGATAGTTGCTAGCCTTGTGTAGCAAACACTGCTTGATTCATTTCCAATGTTTAATGGGCTATTGGAGGTGCCTGATTTGGGTGCACTGTTGCTATTGACCGAGAACTTGTCCGAAGTTTGTTTCTGGATGTGCAAACATGGGGTACAGTGGTGTTGGGCCTTGGAGAGGGGAAGGGTGACTGAAGCTTCCATTGTTGAGTGCCGGGAATTGGGACCAATGGCTGACAAACATTCATTAGGCTGTGTGTTGAAGATTCAAACTAAGGATGAGAGATAATTAGAAGAGGTTTCACAAAATGAAAAAAGTCAAACCTCAAGGTAATAACATTTGCAAGTTTCTGGGACTCCATCAGCAAAACCCTAACCCTATGTGCAGCACTGCACAACGCTGCACAGTAATCACAGTGTCACAGCAAGGTCCCCCCATGTACAGCGCTGTACAGTGCTGCACACTACACAATTTCTCAATAAAACATAATTATTAGCACACCATCTTGTTATATACATGTTTATGACTACATTACACTCATTTTTACATAGAATCAATACTTGTGTGGTGCTGCAGAGCCTTTACAACAAAATCTATGTGACCTGTGACACGCTGTGTGGCTGTGGCACTGTACCCAAATCAGGGTTTTGCTGATGTCAGATAAAATATCAAGACAAGATCGCATTCCCTTCAAACACACTGCCATTCAAGCCAGGAAAGGAGGTGACAATTCCAGAAAACCTGGAATATAC